CGGAAGAGTGCATTGAAAAGGAGTTAAGGATTGCAAATGATTGCTGACGGCATTATTTTGCCCATGGCGGTGTGCCGGCGTCACCCAAAAGTATGTTTCTTTGTATTAGCATAACCTTAAATTGTAAATTGAATAGTAAGATATGACCCATTGTTTTTCTATCTTTTATTAGTTATAGCAGGGCCTGGTTGTAAGAATGCAATATTCCGTTGAAATAAACGGTCACGTGCAGTAGGAGAAGCATATGGGACTTGTAGGATATTACTCGCTTAGCGCCATTACATGCCAAGAATTATTTTTATGCTAAGGAAAGATTGAATCAGTAGTACAAATATGTAAGGTATGATATGTCTATTGATTTCTAGGTCGACTAGCTATATGACATGCAGGACAGAAATATTTCGTGGTGAAATTAAGACAGAGAAAAGCAGATGAGTCTGACATAAAAAGAGAATATATTTACTTTAGGTTATTTTCTCTTATAACAACAAGCTATAGAGAATACAATAAGATTGAGAGGTATGTTGTATTCTTGATCTGAGTAAATATTGATAGCTGTGGTCAAAGTCAATGACGAGCACTGACGTTTTAAGTTTCAGAAAGATGAAGCTGAAGTAAAGAAAATGCAGAAGTTTGCTGGATAATGAAAGATGCCAAGGTAAAGAAATTTTGTATGTCCGTTGAAAAGAATTTAGTAATGCCTATTATCACTTGCAAGTCTGCCTATGAAAAATGGGTGCAACTCAACCTAGTTTTCTAGTGAGATAACAAACAGCAAAAATGTAACCTTCTGCAGGAATTTTACAACTGTTCATTTGGCTCATGTTAGCAAATTGCGAAACCTAATGTTTATATTAAAAGTAGTTCGCACTTCCATAGATGACTATATATTAATGATGAAAATTTTAGGTACCTTACCACAAGAGTGTAAAATGCATATGAATGCATGGGAGTCTATCAGCAAAGGGGAGAAGATTTTGTCTACTAGGTTAATAGCTGAAGAGGCAAGAATTGAAGACAAGGAAGAACCAGATAATACAATCGTATATAAGACAGATAGCCAGAAATTTTATAATTATAACAGAACAGAACACGTAGCAAGGGATTGTAGAAACAAAACAACGCAAAACTTAATGTTAAGGTGTTCTAAATATAATAGTCCAGGGTTGCTACAAATTGTAAAAAGAGATATAGATATACATAATAGAGAGAAACAGTGTTCAATATGTTAAAGAAATAATCATATAAGCGAAGACTATTTTTATAAAGAA